CTATTGGTTATAGGTATTATATAATGAAACGTAAGAGAGAATTATCAATGAATTGTGAAAGAGTGGATGTGGCAGAGGGGTCTGATTTTCTATTTGATAGTACTGTAACCAAACAAAATTGAAGACTATAAAAATTATGGTTTGCCTGAGCAATAATGATTTTATAGAGTAATTTGTGTTTAATTTCATACATTTTTGAGGGGTGATGGATAAATGGGGTGATGACATGCTAAAACAGAATGTGTCATGTGGGTCACACTAGTGGAAATTCAGGATTTTTTTTAATATTTCCTTGTAGAGTTAAGAACTTCAAACATGTATACTATTAAAATATGGATTATTAGTTAAGATTTTATGCTATTCTAATTAGTATAACATAAACAAAAAATAGTTTAATAAAATTTTGAATGTAAGACGCTAAAACCTTGTGTCATGTGCAGTAAAGGATACCAGGGGCAATAGAGTTAAAAGGAAATGTAAAGTTAAATATCAATTTTTGTGTGTCACACAACACCTCCAGTTGTATTACTGTTCACTTTCCATTTTATTATACCTACCATACAACATGTACAAGTAGCTAACGAATTAGAAACTTGAATTTGAGATATAGACAAGCTAAATATAGAATAAGAACCTCCCTTCTCTATGAATTACTGAAATGACAATATTTTAGTGAATCTACTAGTGGCTCCTCCCACTACACCAATGTTTTGAAAGCTCTTGTCTAGTCCCACCTACTACTAATTAGCTCTTGTTTATAATCAAGAACATTTTCCACCCTACATAATTCTGACAGTTGTTTATAAATAGCTTGAAGGAGAAAATAATAATTTTGCCAAAACTGTTGAAGTTTGATGAATAAGTCGTTGCACTGAATAGGAATGGGATTTTTTTTAACCCCCATATAATTTATTTAGAGACCCAACTAAATTACAGGGATTTTTTTTTAACTCACATATAATTTATTTAGAGACCCAACTAAATTACAGGGATTTTTTTTTAACCCACATATAATTTATTTAGAGACCCGACTAAATTACAGGGAGTTTTTAACCTACATATAATTTATTTAGTAGACCGACTAAATTACAGGAGTTTTAACCTTTACTACTATAATTAATTTAGTACGACCGT